ATATATATATATATATATATATATATATATATATATTTATATATATGTGTGTGTGCATATACATATAATTATTACCTTGCGGTAACAGGTTTGCAAACAGCGTTGGGAACCACTGGCCTGTGAATACACTGGTCAGCGGAGGATCGTCATCCGCATCCAGTACCTGTGGTGGAGTAGAGAGACACGCGAACGAAGTACGTAAGCTGAAGCTATGTCCTATACATTTACTTCGCCCAAAGTTTTCTGTGCCTTGTCCTATAAATATAATTGGCCCGACGTTTGCGATCTGCCACACGAGAAAACATGTAGATATGTAAATAGGTAGGCGAGCTAAAAGTATCGGTTTAACGACGCATGGAGAGGCACAGTCTGAACCGATGCAAGAGTACATGATACTATACTTGTGTATATTGGGACATGATGATTCGCTAATAGGGTGAACAGGAACGTCGTCCACGGTCACTAGATAAATAAGTGCATTTGCGTGGATAGGTATACGCCTAGTATCGCATGATCATTGAACGCCGGTCCCAACATGATACAATTATGGACTTAAAACGCTATATGCTTTCAAGTGAGACTGCTCGTATACATAATTCTCTGGCTGACACTGGATTGGGTTGATGGCTTAGAGCTTTAGGGGTTTAGAGTTTTTAAGGACAGATAGGCTACACGGAGACACTAAAGGGCCTATGAGAAGTCGCATATAGCGCAGAGCTGAAAGATGCGAATGGCACATACGTTATAGTTATAGGTGACGGCATCCTGCTTCATCAATCGGCGGCAGTGTGCGTGTAACCTCGGCAGGCGTTCCCTGTTTGTCGAAGGGTACATAAGACAGTGCAACGATTGAAATTAGCAAATGGGCTGTGCTTGAAAATAACAAATGGGCTGAGTTTGAGAATAACAAATGGGCTGTGTTTGGAGAATAATAATATGAGATTTATATCTTTCTGGCTATGCTTTGGCCTATGAGGCATTCGCGATGCAACTGCAGCCAAGAGATGCAACAACACATGAGATATACATATATTTATATATACATGACGATAGTATGTGCGCATGCATACGTTTATATACATACATGCACATCCAGTCAGAAGTGTTAGATGATACGCAAAAGACTCCAAGCACTTATACATACATGCACATCCAGTCAGAAATGTTAGATGATACGCAAAAGACTCCAAGCACTTGCAAAAAGCCACGAATAGTAGAGATCTAAAGAACACATGAGATATACATATATTTATATATACATGACGATAGTATATGCGCATGCATACGTTTATATACATACATGCACCTCCAGTCAGAAGTGTTAGATGATACGCAAAAGACTCCAAGCACTTGCAAAAAGCCACGAATAGTAGAGATCTAAAGAACACATGTGACATACATATATTTATATATACATGACGATAGTATGTGCGCATGCATACGTTTATATACATACATGCACATCCAGTCAGCAGTGTTAGATGATACGCAAAAGACTCCAAGCACTTGCAAAAGTCACAAATAGTAGAGATCTGGCGCGTGTAATAAGGAGTCCTGGCTGTAAACCCGTCACATACTTCATCAGTTCATCAAACACCAGAAGATCCACAGCCAGTGCTTCCAAATCCTGCAGAAGAGGCAAGAGTAATGAATAGTGAATAAGTTTGTGTGTGTTTGTGTGTGTGTGTGTTTTTACACATTGATGTATTCAAATGTATGCAGGAAGCCTTTTTTTGCATGAACTTTCTTGTAGATAAAAAAATAGTAGTAGGATGTTGTGGGGCATGTGTGGACCGATTTGGGACTGACTGCGATGATTTTTTTTCCCGAACTCTTGTATCGGTTCGACGTTAGTGATACACACCCTGTTCTGTAAGATTAGAAGAAATCCAGTGCTCATCTTAGCTTTATAGAAGCGTGTGCTCTAAATGTCCGTGAAGGGAGCTGCCCGTATCCGAGCGGAATCACTATGCACCGGGACTTACTTAACCACAACTTATAACGTTTCGTATTATAACGTTTCGTATATATATGTATATATATATATCATTCGGATAAGCTTCGATACTTTGCTATGAAGCTGGACTGCAATGAACCTCGGCCCAAGGTATATAAAAGCCAATTAGTGTGGAGTACTTCATCCGTTTCATCCGCGTATGGGCTTTGTACTCCGCTTGTGATCGTCTATCCACCCCAATCCATACGCACAAACTTCTAAGCAGGTGCATTGATTCCTAGTCGCAGTGTAGTGACCTGCACCAAGAATCCATATTGCGATAGGTGGCACCCGACAACATACCGTTCGACAGAAACAAGGGTGTATAGATAAACACACTAAGTTCAACAGAAACAAGGGTGTATTTATAAACACACTACGTTCAACAGAAACAAGAGTGTATATATAAACACACTACGTTCAACAGAAACAAGGGTGCATATATAAAATCACTACGTTCGTGGACGAGTTTGCACCGGAACTTACGTCGAAGTAATTCTTTGGCAATTGATCCACCAGCACACACAGGGCCGCGAATGCATCCTCTTCGTTCTGAAGCGTGTGGCAGGGCACGGGTGCGAGGAAGCGCGACCATAACAGCAATGAGCGAATAGTATGTGTGAGACGATGACCAGTGCGTGAGAAAAGAACACCTGTGTAGTAACAGAACAACGATGGGGAAACAGCACGTGCGACAATGCCTAGACCCCTCTTACAACTTTTGACGTGTTCCTTTTTGGTATCTGGGAAGACATTACAAGTGCGAGACTGCGCAGAGATGAGAAAAGAAGCGACCTTGGTTAAAAAAAACACAGTAACGAGAGAACAGTACGTGTGCGAATATGACAGATGTGGGAACAGCACGGCAATACCACACTAACCGCAGCGATGAGACAGGGGACGTACCAAGACAACGGACAACCCGGTAGCGCAATGACAATCATATGAGGATATGGCGACAACAGGTGACACAATGCATTCTACAAATATGGTACAGAACTATCGGAGATATCGTCTCTAGCATTGATCCGAGCATAGCGTGGGTCGCACACACCTAAAGACGATATGAATGGCTTGGAAGCACAGGGGAGGAGAGTGTGTGTCGTGCGTAGGGTATCAAAAGGTACGACCACCTGGATTATACCACGTGTTGGACATACCACGTCCCCATGGATACAAACGAATGGAATCAAACCAAACAGTTCAGCTACCAACCAAAGCCCTTTTACAGTGACTTCCACGAGCACATAGTAGGTTGACTGGCAGAAGCGCCCGATTGAGACTCCGATACTTCTCTCGCATATTGATTGCCCGATATTCACGTACCTACCTATGTGCAAATTTCCATATATATATATATACATACATACATACAGATATATTATATATATATATATATATATATATATATATATACTATACTATATATATTATATATATATTATATTATATATATATATATATATATATATATATATTCTTATGTATATATATATATACATACATATAAATAATATAAATATATATATATACATATATATATATATATATACATATATATATATGCGTGTGTGTGTTTGTGCATCACTGTATACATAGTATACATACACACCAGATGTACATACAATGCAAACATAGCAGACATCGCTAGAAACGCCTTAGGTAGTTAAGATATACCTTGTGCAGCAGCAGCGACAGATAGGCACCGATACATTGCGAGTCTACCCCAACTCACTACTGAGTTGTGTTGAGGACAGGCCAGTAACACACACGGCAGTGATTCTACTAAAGACATATCCAAAGACATATCCACATATCCGCACATCCACATAAATTTTACTGGCACCGGCGACTCGAACCCAAGAATCCATAGCATCCTCTGTCAAATACGAATACATACATTATTCAACGACAGCAACTAGTTGAGCCTCACTAAAGTCGAGCGACTGACAGTAGCCCACCTCTTTGATGAGTTGGCAATAGGCTAGTAACACATTTGTCAATATTTCTACCCAGTATACAGCCACACAACATGTACTGTCACCCGCTAGTCATACCCCAGAGTTCATAGCAACCATACGGTCAACTAACAATATACCTTGTTCATCAGCAGCAACAGATGGGCTCCTATGAAATTGAGCGACTGGCAGTATCCAACCTCTTTGTTATGTTGGGAATAGGCCAGCAAGACCCGAGCCAATGTCGCTCTGCCGGTAGTGCTCTGTTATACAAAGGGAGCCAAGGATAGGTTATTGATTGTAGTGAATCGGAAAATGAAGAGTTCAAATGACAGAGATTAAAAAAAAGGTGGCATACGGATATGATAAAGCAAAGAAAAAACTTGTTGTGTTAGGATACGGGCTAGTAATAAACTTGTTAATGTCGCCCTACCAGCGGTATTGTGCTTCAAATTTGCGGAATTCGATTATTTGGAATATAGAGATACAAATATATACCTATATACGTATACATATACAGATACACACGCACAATATATATACAAATATATATATATATATATATTCATACACATATAAGTGTACATACACATACGCATATACATATACATACACGCACGCGTACAAACACACACACACATTTATATATATATATACACATATATATATACATATACATATACAAATCTATATCTATATATATACTATATATATACTATATACTATATAATAATACGTT